TCCAGCAAATTGAAAAAGAACAGCAAGAAAACCCGACACCCTTTAAAAAAACTGAAATTATAAAAACTAGAGCAGAAATGGCTATTAATTTTATAAAACAAAAGCTGTGGGAGAAAAAAAATGTACAGTGACCTTTTTGGAAGGTAGTCATTATCTGAAATAGCACCTTTTATTTTTTTTCATCAGAAATCTTGACCACTTAATTAAGTTAATGCTGTATTTGTGACTTCTGTTGGTGGAACACTTTACTTGTAATGTTCCGTTTTATAACAAGCCTGTTGCTATATAGTTGGCCTTGGCAGGATTATACCAAGATGAAATGAAAGGCAAATCTTCCAAGACGGATAGACCTAAAGCATCACTCTTTAAAAGTCCACGAACACCACCTCAAAGGTAAGGGTTTTTTTTTGGGGGGGGGCATATTTTTTTTTCTGATTTATGCACTTAATAGGTACATATGTGTGTAAATAGATTCTTTTTTAAAATTGAGATTTTATTATAAGTTTTGTATTAAAAACTGTAGCCCTTTACTGGAGAGCATGATGTTGAGTGAACTAAGTTCCATAAGGACAAATACTGTACAAAACCATTATTATAGAATGAGTATGAGGATCCAAGGGGAAGGAGAGTGGAAGCAGAGGGGTGAAGATGGTTGGGGGGAGGGATTAATCATGGGATCACACAATTTGGGTGGGAGGTGAGCAAGTGGGAAGGATCTAGTACGCAAAACAGTGTGTTCAAATTTTGTAAATAAACTAGTATAAAAAATTACCATCTTTTAAGAGTTGTGTTACTAATTCCCAATTATTTTAAAAATCTTCTTATTGTTGTCATATGCCATCTAGTCAAAACCAACTCATAGCTACCCTCCGGCAGGTTTTCAGAGGCAGAAAAAGAATGGAAAGAGATTTCCCTATCCTTCTAGCAGAGCAGCTGGTGTATTCAGACCACATGCCTTTAGGATTATCTCGCAGTTTCTTACCTCTGGACCACCATAGCATTCTGAAAATAGACTGGGGATTTTTAAAAGTCTTAATTTCTTACAGATTATTTATGTAGTGTGCCTTCAAATTTAATTGAAAACTAGAAGACCTTATTAAAGAATAACCTTAAATACCTGTTATTATGGCAATCTTCATGTGAAGTTATATCCTGAATGCTATTTTTCCTCAGCACAGTTGGTTCTTTACTTTTCTGGAATCATCAGATCCACTTTATATGCACAAATTTTGGAGAATATCTTCAAGGTCACCTCCATTCCTTGTGTCCACTGCTATTAAAACTCTTCTCCAGTCCTGCTCCCCTCATAATTTAAGTGTAGTCCAAAACCTATGTTATGCAGATGACACAATGTTGCTCACAGAAACTGAGGAGGACTTGAAGCATTTGCTGCAGAAGGTCAAGGACTATAGTCTTCAATATAAATTGAAGCACAACATCAAGAAGACAAAGATTCTCACCATGGGCCAATTGGCAGCACCATGATAGATGGAGAAGAAATGGAGGTGGTTAACAATTTCAGCTTGGCAACACAATCATCACTCTTGGCACAAGCAGTCAGGAAATCAAAAGACTAATTGCTCTGGGGAAAGCTGCTGTCAGGGACCTCTCAAAAGTGCTGAAGAGCAACAATGTCAGTCTGGAGACTAAGGTATGCCTGATTCAGGCCATGCTCTTGGCAGTTACTTGCTATGCATCAGAAGGCTGGACAGTGACCAAAGATGACAAAAGAAGAAATATGTCAATTGTTGCTGTTATGTGCCATCGATTTGACCATAATTCAAAGTGACCCTATGCACAATAGCTCTGAAACCTTCTCTTTCCTGAGCCAGTCTCACTGTCTCTGACACACCTACCCTCATTTTTGCCTATTACTTCAGAGCAGCTTGAACTTCCTCCTGTATCACCATTGCCTCCTGATCATGTGTTGTTTCATGAAGTTCTTCTGTTTCATCCAAATCTTTTTGGTACAGTGACTCTGTATACTCCTTCCATCTTCTTTTGATACTTCCTGTATCTTTCAGTATTTTGTCCATGGAATCTTTTAAGTATTGCATCTCAAGGCTCAACTTTGTTCTTTAGTTCCTTCCACTTAAGAAATACCAAGCTAATTTGACCCTTTTGATTTTCCTACTCAAGCTCTTTGCACACTTTATTATAATACTTTGTTTTGTCTTCCTGAGCTGCCCTTTGAAATCTGGTTAGGTTTTTAACTTTCTGATTTCTTCCCTTTGGTTTGGCTTCTCCACGTTCTAGTGCAATATTCAGTATCTTCTGACATACATCTCAGTCTTGTCTTCCCTCACTGTCTTTTGCATTTTTTTATGGATGATATTCTTGTTATTTTCCCACATCTCCTTTTGTCTTTGTTTATTTGGGCTCAGGGCCTCAAAATTGTTTCTGATACGGTTTTTAAATTCAGATGGGAGAGACTCAAGATAAAATTTTGGTTCTTGTGGATTTACTTTAATTTTCTTTAGCTTCAGCATGAACTTGCATATGGGTAGTTAATGGTCTGTTCCACAATCCACACCTAGCCTTCTTTTCATAGTTGGTATTGAGCTTGACCAACAATTCTTTACACAGATACAATCAATCTGCTTCCTGTGTAGACCATCAGTTAAAGTTCATGTATATAGTCAGTATTTCTCTTTCTTATAAAAAGTATTTGCAATGAATAAATCATTGTGCAAAATTCTATCATTCTATCTCCAGCCTCATTTCTGTCACCAAGTCCATATGTTCTGACTGCTGACCTTTTTTCTTTGTTCCCAACTTGTGCATTCCAGTCACCCATTTTATTTATGCATCTTTGTTACATGTTTGATTGATTTCCAACTGCAAAAGTTGGTAGAAGTCACCTATTTTCTCCTCTTTGGCTCTGTGTTTTGGTGCATATATTTGAATGACAAGAGTATTAACAGGTCCTCCTTTTATTCGTATGGATATTATCCTGTCACCCACAACATTGTAATTCAGTATGGATGTAGAAATGATCTTTTTAACACCTTGCCGCAAATGATGGCTATAGCAGGGGGGAAAATGTGTTTCTAAACACGGTTGTCAACTTAAAAGTATGCGGCAACGTGTTAACTATGAATGTGACCCCATTTTTCCTCACTTTTCATCCCTGGCATAGTACATTATATGATTGTCAGATTCAAGATGTCCCATGCCAGTCCAACTCAGCTTGCTAGTACCTAGTATGTTAGTGTTTATGCGTTTTATTTCCTTGACAAGGTCTAATTTTCCTACATTCATGTTTCTGATACTCCATGTTCCAGTCACTAGTATCTATTTGCACCTGTTTATCCTCCTTTGTGTTTCCCAGTTTGAGGGCTTAGCCTCTGATGCCATCTTTGCTAGTCTAATTGGAATGTTCACTGTTGTACATAGGGTTCCAGAGACCTGTTAGTGCAGTAGAAAGATTGTCATCTCTCCATTTTAGGAGTTGCTCAGGAATAAACGTGTGATCTACATTTAGTTCAAGCTGCTCTGAAGGAATTGGCAAAAAACAAAGGCCCAGGACTTAATGGAATACCGACTGACGTATTTCAACAAACAGACACTGCTCACCAGATTCTGCCAAGAAACCTGGAAGACCACTCCCTGGCCAATCACCTGGAAGAGATCTGTATTTATTCCCATTCAAAAAAAAGGTGATGCAAAAGAGTACGGAAATTATTGAACAATGCCATGGTGGTGGTGTTGTCGTTGTTATATGTCATTGACTTGCTTGCAAATCATAGTGACCCTATATACAACAGCCCTTAAACCTGCTCTATCCTGTCCCAACTTTATTGTCTCTAACACACCTACCCTCATTACGCCAGTTATTGTATCAATACATCTCATCAGTGGTCTCCCTCTTTTTCTTCGTCCCTCCACCCTTCCAAGTGTGATGTCTCTCTCCAAGGACCAGTTTCTCCTTGCAACATGACCAAAGTGTGTCAGATGAAGCTTCAGAATCCTTGCCTCCAAGGAGCAGGCCTGTTTCACCCTCTCTCGGACGAACCTCTTTGTTCTCCTGACAGTCCATGGTATATTCAAACTCTTCTCCAGTACTATAGCTCAAAGACCTCAGGCCAAGAAAACAACACTTAGAACCCAGATCTAGAGGACATATCGCTCTCTCCTGGGAACATATCCTCTTGTGTCAGTACCTTGCTGCAGATGAAAGAGAAGAAGTACTAAGCCACAAGTAATCAGTCATGGAGTGAAAGTTTAAGGCAAAGGACTTTTCCTCAGAACCATCTGAGATAGGAGCCTTCCATGATTCTTGTACTTGGTATTTGTACTTACAGACTCTTAAATTCAAGAGATACTGTCCACAGCATAAGAAACTGGTAAGGTGTTCAGAATCACAGATGCCCCAATGGCTTGAGACATAAGCCATCATATCAAGGGGTGAATAGGAGGAGAGAGGTGCTGAATGGTGTAGGCATGAGTCAAAAGGGATGCTGATGGAGTAGGGAAAGGGGTGGGTCAAAACATACGTGCTAAAGATGGGTTGCAACACTGAATCTATTGGTCATTTCTGTAATTGGGTAAATGTCTTTTATCTACTCCTTTCTGTAAAATGCTTGTCTGTCAGATAATATTCTTATTAAAAAAATAAGACTGAGAAGAAGGATTGGCCATCCACTTCTGAAATAACAGGACTTTGAAAACCCTATGTACAATAGAATAATATTATACACAAGCAAAATTTTGCTGCAGATTATCCCAAAACAACTGGAACAGTACATTGACGGAAAAATGCCAGCTATACAGCCCAAGTTTAGAAGAAGCCATGGCACCAGAGATATTATTGACAGTGTCACATGGATCTTGACAAAAAATCAGAGTACCAGAGGAATGTCTTATCGGTATTTCATTGACTATACAAAGGAATTTGACTGTGTGGATCACTACAAATTGTGGCTCACCATGAGAAGAATGGGAATCCCAGAACACTTGATTGTGCTCATGAGAAACCTATACTCAGACCAAGACTGTTTATTCCTAAGAACAGAGCAAGGAAACAGTACATGTTTCAAAGTCAGGAACGGAGTTCATCAGGGATGCATCCAGTTTTCATACCTTTTCAATCTGTATGTGGAACACATCATTTGGAAGGCTGGGCTTTATGAGTAGGACTGGGGCATCTGGATTGAAGGAAGACTCAACAATCTGCATTATGCAGACACAACCTTGCTTGCTGAAACTGAAGAGGACCTAGAGAGTTTGCTGCAGAAGTTCAAGCACTGTAGTCTTCAATATGGGCTAAAGCTCAACATCAAAGAAGATAAAGGTTCTTCACCACTGGGCCAATTGGCAGCACCATGGTAGATAGAGAAGAGATTGAGGATGTTAACAGTTTTGGCTTACTTAATTATGCAGTCAACTGTCTTGGTACTAGCAGTCAGGAAATCAAAAGATGAATTGCCTTATGGAAGCCTGTTGTCAGAGTAGAGTTCTCTCCATGGTACCGAAGAGTAATGATGTCAGTATAGAGACTTATGGTGCGCCTGATCCAGGCCATGGTCTTTGCAGTTACTTGCTATGCATCAGAAAGCTGGACAATGAGTAAGAATAATGGAAGAATAATTGATGCTTTTGAGTCGTGGTGCTGGAGAAGAGAGCATACCATGGACTGCCAAGAGAACAGACAGGTTTGTCTTGGAGAGGGTGAAACCAAGTTTCTCCTAGAAAGCTAGAATTTTGAACTTCCGTCTCATACTTTGAGCACATGGCCAGGAAGAACCAGTCCTTTGAGAAGGACATCATGCTTCCAAGAGTGGAAGGACAGGCAGAGGAGGAAGACCCTGGAAGAGATGGATTTACACAGTGACTGGAGTAATGGGGGTAGGTGTGTTGGAGTCAGTGGGACTGGCTCAGGATAGGTTCAGAGCTATTGTCCATCAGGTCTCTCATGTCACAGCTGGATGGCACATAACAACACCTACATTTAGAGACAGCACTCTGAATCGATTTGGAATTAATTTGAGGGCAGTGAGTTTGGTTCTAATTTTTTAAATCTAAAGGTGAGTTTACTAACTTGGTCTCTACTGAGAGTATATTCTTTAGTGGGGAGCGATTAACTTCTCAGTGTCAGCATCCCTTTTCTCTACTGTATCAAAATATAGAAGTGACATAGACACATTTGATGAGCGTTTAAGAATGAGGAAGGAGTGAGGGAGGGACTAAGCTAGTTCTCATATTCCATCTCTGCTAACTCAGCATGAGAAAGTATATAAACTCATTACCAAATAATCTCATCCTTAAACTTATTTTTAGAACTTTTTCTGTACAACTTGTAGAAATAATTTTTCCATAAAAGTGTATATTATTCTACTTTCAAGTAGTCTATGTCTGTATTTTTGCTTTTTATTAATGAGCTATAATTTTTAAAGGTTCTATTCAAGTGAGCATGAATATAGTGGATTACATATAGTTCGACCTTCACCAGGGAAAATTGTGAATGAACTTTTCAAAGAGGCAAGGGAACATGGAGCAGTGCCTCTGAATGAAGCTACAAGAGCATCAGGTGATGAAAAATCTAAGGTAAGCACTCAGCTTTATAGCTAAATGTACTTTTATATAACTGATTTACCTATATGTTTTATCCAAGTAAAGAAGTAGCCAAGAAATCCAGCGACATTATATTTGGTGCATGTGCTGCAAAAACGCAAAGGTCCCTTTCAGAACTGAAGCTTGCCTGACTGAGGCATCGTCTTTTTGTTTGCTCATGTGGATGAAAATGAATGAAGAAGACCAAAGACATATTGATGCCTTTGAATTAGTTTTGGGGAAAAATGTTGATTATGTCTTGGAGTTGCGGAAGAATGAACAAATCTGTCTCAGAAGAACTAGAGCCAGATTACATCTTATACATGAAGTGGTCAGCCTTACAAACTTTGGACATGTTGTCAGGAGGGACAGTCCCTGGAGAAGGAGCTCATGCTTGGTAAAGTAGAAGGTCATTGAAAAGGAGGAAACCCCCCAATAAGATGAACTGACATGCTGGTTACAACAGTAGGCTCAAACAGAAAAATTGAGGCTGGTGCGGAATGAGAAGGTGTGTGTTTCTTTCTGTTGTGTGTGGAAATGCTGTGAGATGAAGTAGCATCTACCGTTAGCAATTTCATATTATTTACAAAAATTGTTTTACTAAATCTATATTTCTTTTACTTCTTAATTTTTGTGTAATTATTTCCTTTTTATAATCTATTACTGATTGATTAATATAAGACAACTTACTTTTCAGTACAATCTTTCATTAACTTTCTATTTTTAAATCAATTCTAGGTTCCCAGAAGTTTCAGACATCACACAGTAGACCAACTTAACTCTCATCTAGGTTTTTCCAGTGGTTTCGTCTTACATAATTCTAGTTCATTATCAAGCAAGGAATTTAATAGTGTGTTAATGAAAGTTCTTTTACATGTTAACACATGTAGACATTAATATGATGACCACTTCTAGCTTGAGATTATTGCATCTTCACCCGAGGGTATGTCCTTATCTCTAGTCACTCCTGCGGTCCTTGTCATGTTTTTCTCCTGAGAATTTTATATAAATGGGCCATCTAGTATGTGACTTTTTTTGGAGTGGCTTTTGCCCTCAGCTTAATGCCCTTGAAATTGATCAAAGCTGTTTAAGTGCATCTGTAGTTTGTTCTTTTTGATTGCTAAGTGATATTCCATGACATGACTTTTCCATAGTTTAACTGTTCACTTATTGCAGGACGTTTTGATTATGTCCATATTTGGCTGTTAAATTTCCTGTATGCGGTAATTTTCAGGGTTTTGTGTGGACATAGTTTTCGTTTCTTTACAAGAATGTCTAGGAGCCTGGGGAAAAAATATTTGGTAATGACATATCTGATAAGGAACTTATATCTAGAATTTATAGAAGACTCAAGCACCACAACAAGATAAAGGTAAACAACCCAGTTGAAAAATGAGCACAGGATATGAACAGACGCTTCACCAAAGAAGACATTCAGATGGCCAACAAACACATGAAGAAATGTTCAAAACAACTATGAGATATCATCTCACCCCTCTAAGATTAGCAAAGTTTGACAGGACAGCAAACAACAAATGCTGGAGAGATTGTGGGGAAATTGGAACACTTATGCACTGTTGGTGGGAGTGTAAAATGGTGCAATTACTATGGAAGGCAGTGTGGCATTTTCTCAAAAAGTTGGAAATAGAGATATCATTTGATCCAGCAATTCCACTACTGGGAATATACCTTAAAGAAACCATAACTGCCACCCAAGCAGATAGATGCACACCCATGTTTATTGCAGCCTTGTTCACAGTAATAAAGGGTTGGAAAAAACCCAGGTGCCCATCAACAAACAAATGTATAGAGAAGCTTTGGTATATTCACACAATGGAATACTATGCTGCATTGAAATATAAGGAACTCATGAAATATTATGCAAAGTGGGTGACCATGGAGGACATTATGCTGAGTGAAATATCTAAGTCACAAAGGGACAAACACTGGATAATGCTACTTTTATAAAACAGGACTGACATTGGGATTGGGAGAATCTAAGTAAACAGGGATTAATTAATATATACTGCATTGAAACATATGAGGGAGAGAATTCTTTGAAAGGAATATATAATTAGGTATTATTTTCATGACAAGAGTCCGGAATAAGAACTTCATGGGGGAGTGGACTTGGGGGGGTGGGGGTTGTATAGTCATGAAAGTTTTTCTGTTTGTTTTTTACTTTTCAAAGAGAAAAAAAAACAATTGGGTGGGCAGGGAGGGAAATGTGCAACAATGAATGAATGGAAATCCAAAGTTTCTATAAACTTTCATTAACATTTTAATTAAAAAAAAAAAAGAATGTCTAGGAGCAAAATAGCTGGATCATGTATTAAGAGAAAATCTAATTTCTTAGAAACTGCCAAATTCTTTTATGGGGTGGCTGTCTCATAGTCCTATATCTACTTTCTCTACATTTTTGCCAGTGTTTAGTTCTCCATTATTTTTGATGTCTGCCTTGTATCTAGTTACAGTTCCCTGCAATTTTTAATTGCATTTTCATATGGTTAATGATATTGAACATTTTTGTGTGCTTATTTGTTATTATACTTAGTATGCTTTTCAGTGAAATAACTCTTTATGACTCCTCATTTTTAATTAGAATATTTGTTCCTATTTAGCTTTTAGAATTCTTTATGTATTTTAATTAATGGATCCCTTGTCAGATGGGGTGTTTGTAAAACATTTTCTCCTAGCTTATAGTTTTATCTTTTCATTGTCTCATTAATACCTTTCACAGAACTAGAACATTTTCATTTTGATGAAGTCACGTTTACTCTTTTTTTTTTTAAAAAAGGGTCATGTTTTTGTAGTGGTAGGTCCTGAATATTTTCTCCTTTGTTATCTGTAAATATTATACCATGGATGAAAGTTGGGCAGGAAATAAGGAAAACCGAAGAAGAATTGATGACTTTGAATCACGATGTTGACAAAGAATTCTTTCTCTACTGAATTGCTGTTGTATTTCTTTAAATATTTATAAAACTTTTTATATAACTTTTTTATTATATCATTTGATATAATGCTCAAGTATCTTTTTTCTATACCATTTATTCCCATCATTAGAATTTCTCAACTTGAAGTTAGCTCATTAAAATTAACTTGGATATTGTTAAGTAATTAGAACTAAAATTAATACTTCAGTAATAGTAACTCTAAACAGTAGATAAGGTTGTTCCAAAAGGCACACACACTGGCATACTTCAGACTTATCTGAGACCAGGTGTTATTTTAGCAATAATGAATAAAATTCTTCCTTTACATTGTAAAACTCTTCTATATTGTGAGTTTTATTGTAAGCTTTGTCAAAATATTGTTGTGGCCTTTCTAAATAAAGTCTAATGTGTTTCAGCATGTAAATTAATTTCTTACTTTAAGATTGGCCTAAGTTATTTCAGCATGTGCCACAAGCATTGTTACAGGAGGAAATAATTTCTTCCTTGAATAGGTTGGATTTTTTAAAAAAAATGCCTCCTTTTGAGTACAGTTTCCTTATAAATATGAACCCATTTGGCTAATTATGGTTTTTTAAGTATTTATAAGACATGATAATAACATATTTATTTAATAATCCCTAGTGACTGTTTAGCTGATTTGTTGTGTGTTTTAGTCATTTACAGGTGGAGGATACAGATTGGGCAGTTCCTTTTGTAAGAGATCTGAATACATCTGTGGAGAAAACCAGTTGCAAGATGTAGGTACATTAATCAAAATTAAAAAGATTGAATGTTTCCCTCTACTAACTACTGTTTGTTTTAGAAATAAAAGTTGATAATAAAGTCATTTTAATGACATTTTGAAACATAATTAAATGATCAGTGTATATTTTTTCAGTTTCAAATTTTATGTTTTCATAGTATCTTGCACTTGATTCACTGTGTAAAAAAATGAGTAATAATTGCGTGAAATGATATACTGTCATAATGCAGAGAAGACTGAGCTATAAACATGAAAATACCCAAAATCTATCTTTATTTTCAGTGCCATCTGAAATTTTGCAGTTATAATTTCAATTTAAACATTTATACTTTAGCCGTGGAGGGTCATGAAAATTTATTCTTGACTCTTGGCCTGAATATGTGTATACACAGTAGCAGAGAAAAGAATATAATCCTAGAATAAGGAGGAGGAGGCTGTGGGCTGGGAGGTACAGATACTGTTTGCAGATTCTTGTATTTTCTCAGGGAACCAGGAATCATTGTACTTAAAGGCCAAGGTCAGGTCACTCGGCCTTTAGTCCTTTCAGCCATTGCCATTGCCATTACCATTACCATTACCATTACCATTACCATTACCATTACCATTACCATTACCATTACCATTACCATTACCATTTGTTAAGCTAAAAACAGCTCTGCTAAGGAAATGTATGTGGTTTCATGTATGCTTTTGGTTATTAATAACTCCATATTTTAAGTAAGTGGTTTACTATGTTGTGCTAAATCATTTTTGAAATATAAAATTATTTGGTGGAAATAGAGTCTTATGTTTATTTCTTTCTTAATTAATAGGTTCAGGTTTTGCTTAAATTGTGGAGCAATGGTTTCAGTTTAGATGATGGAGAATTGAGACCTTACAGTGACCCAGCAAATGCACAATTTCTGGAATCTGTTAAGAGAGGGTAAGATGGATTATTTATGTTCTCCTTCTTACTTAGAGTGAGACTCTTGTTTTTTGGTTTTGAACAGATTCTTGTCATTAGTGTCCTGTGGTTTTTAAGAGTTATACAATGTAATGCATTATATAGGTGGTTGCTGGGAGGAAGAATATCCTTAAGTGGAAAGGATAGGCTGTTATCTGCAGGTCACCAGGTCTTAACTCTGGAGGTTGGCTAGTGGTCACTGGCCCCTTTGAAAAAACTTGGATACCATTAAAAAAAATCTTAGTGCAGTAAATCACTCAGTGGTTTTGCTTGGTGCTGTCTATTCACTAAGCCAGTGTCCTGCTTACTGTTGACAGGGTGACTTATTTCAGGTAGACCTGAAATTCAGCAGCTTGTATTAGAAATGTTTTAAAGTGGCATTACTGCTGTCAGAAGATGTCAAAAGATAAGTTGAAAGTTATAATCTGTGAAAGTGAACCAGATGTTTGACTTATTTGAAGGACATGATGAATCAATCAGCCTTGCCTTTTAGATTCCGTCAGTCTTGCTATTTTCATGTATTTACAGTACCTAGCTGGCTCAGTCTGTAAGGCCTTGTGCTGCTAACATAAAGGCAACCTGTTCAACTCCACCAGCAGCTCCACAGTAAAAAGATGGACAATCGCCTATGATGTATGTTATTATGTGCTGTCGAGTCACTTGTGACTTACAGCGACCCTCTGTACAACAGCCCTAAACTCTGCTCTATCTTGTACCAATCGCACCGTCTCTGAAACACGCATCCTGATTACCCCAATCACTGAATCAATCTACCTCATGGGGGGCCTTCCCCTTCTGCGCTGTCCCTCCACCCTACGAAGCATGATGTCCTTCTCCAAGGACCTGTTCCTCCTTGCAACATGTCCAAAGTATGTTAGACAGAGCCTCAGAATCCTTGCTTCCAAGGAACAGCCTGGTTTAACCCTTTCCAGGAAGAATCTGTTTTCCTAGCAGTCCATGGTACCCTCAATACCCTTCTCCAGCACCAAAGCTCAAAAGCATCAATTCTCCTTCTATCCTCCTTAGTCATTGTCCAACTCTCTGATGCATAACAAGTGATAGCAAAGACCATGGCCTGTATCAGACACACCTTGGTCTCCAAAGAGACACCATTGCTCTTCAGTACTTTGGAGAGGTCCCTAACAGCAGACTTTCCCATGGCAATACGTCTTCTAATTTCCTGGCTGCTGGTGCCAAGAGTGTTGACTGTGGAACCAAGCAAACTGAAGCTGTGAACAATCTCAATCTCTTCACCATCCATCCTGATGCTGCCAATAGGCCCAGTGGTGAGAGTCTTTGTCTTCTTGACATTGAGCCTCAATCCATATTGGAGTCTGCAGTCCTTGACCCTCTGCATCAAGCGCTTCAGGTCCTCCTCAGTTTCAGATATATGCACGAACTACCAGAGCCAAGGAAGAGGAAATAGAAGATTTTTACCAACTTTTACAGTTGGAAATCCATCGAACTTGCAGTCAAGATGCATTGATAATAATGGGTGACTGGAATGCAAAAGTTGGAAATAGAGAAGATTCAGTAGTTGGAAAACATGGACTCGGTGACAGAAATGGAGCCGCAGAGAGGATGATAGAATTTTGCACAATCACTTATTCATTGCAAATATGTTTTTTAAGAAACATAAAGGCAGGTTATATACATGGATTTCACCTGATGGTATGCATAGAAATCAGATTACTTACATCTGCGGAAAGAACCACTGGATCAGCTGTGAAAACTAGGCCAGGAGCTGATTGTGGAACAGACCACCACTACTCATATGCAAGTTCCAGCTGAAGCTGAGGAAAATTAAACCAAGTCCATGGGAACCAAAATATGACTTCAGGTCTATCCCACCTGAATTTCAGAACCAGCTGAGGAACAGGTTTGAGGCCTTAAACACCAATAAGCAAAGACCAGATGAACTCATCAAGGGTATCATTCAGGAAGAGTGCAAATGGTCATTGCAAAGA